AGGTTCTTCTGTAGCCTTGGCATAAATGGATAAGTCTCAGTTGCATCTGTTCTTAAAGTGGTTGGATTTCCAGAAGGACAAGGCTGGGGTGTAACTTACTTCACCATTAAGATTAAATGGAGAAGAGATGAGTATTTCTTTGTTTCAATTTAAGGAATGTTTCCTTAAGTGAAATGAAGGGTAAAATGAATTGTCATTTTATTCCATTTTAAGGCAGTTTGCAAGACAAATTCTTTGGTTATTTGCATGTTCTCTGTAGCAATGCTTTAAAATAGCAGAACTTTTGTGTCATTCAGCTGCAATTAAATTAGACTATATGACTGCATAAAGTTCTGGAAAAGCAATTGTTTTAAAACATTCACGCAGGAATGGCTCTGTCATTATATAGACTGCCTGATTTTTGTTTTTTTTTTTTTTCAGCTGTGTTATTTTGACATGGTTGCTACTGTAATATGGGTATGCTTTTCCCATTTTGTAAGCTAATCAGTAAAATGTAACCAATGACTTAGCACCTTTTATGTGTTGAAGCCAGATGTAGGACATGCAGATGTGCACCAGAGTGCAACTGCTTCCTGTGGAACCACTGACTTGTTTTTTGAAGCTGAATAACTGAAATCTAAATTGCTCAATTTTCTTTGTATCTTATGGGTGTAACTGCTTAAGAGTCAAGATTGTACCTGTAATACTTAACTGTTTCTTGAACCAATGTGTTAATTTTTTAATCCTTTTGTGATTTGCCTGATCTAGAAGTACACAGCATAGCAGACCTGCATGTTGTAATGCCATCTCCTTACTTCATGTGTCAGCAGAGACCTGCTTAAAATAGCACAAGTTCTTACACCTTATTCATGTAGAACTAATGAGTCCAGCTCCCCTGTCTTCTGGTCCTGTATGTACAGTAACAGAACTACTTGCTTTATTTTCAGTTAGGACTGTTATGGGATTTAACTGATTTAGGTTATAATCTAGGTTGCAGTATCTTTTTTCTTACTCATAATAAATGAGGAAGGAAGAATCAAGGTTGGCTGCTGAAACCCAGCATAAAACTCCTGTGCTGCTAGTTTTTTAAAAAACAAGACACTTATAATGTCAGTAAAATACATTAAGGGAAACAATGCGGTGAGAGTAAGTCATAGAGTGAAATTGTACTTTTTAATTCCTACATGTATTTTCCTTACCCTTTCTGAAATAGTAGGGAAAACAGTGGCATTCAGTTGTCCCTAGGAAGGCTGGCAAGTTCATGCATTAATAAAAGGTTGACTGTCTAGCTCAGTCATTCTTAACCAGGGTAATAAGAGATCTTTTCAAGGGTGCCACATGAAGTATGAGGAGATAAACATTTAAGAGCATGCTCAAGTTCTCCCTGCCTGGTTGTTCCCTTTTTTCCAGTGCCTAGCCCTGCTGGAAGGAGGCAAATAGTGTAATAAATTTAGTTGTTGAAATGGTACAGCTCAGTTCACAAAAGTTATGGAGAGGTGCCTTGCCTCTAAAAAGGTTGAGGACCACTGGCTTTAGTACTCTTGTCAGACCAGTTTCAATAACAGGAATGGGATATGAAACTATCCATTCTTTATCTGTGTGAATACTGCTAAAAGAAAATGCAGACTTCTAGGAAATTTGCATATAAGCCTCTATCTCATTTGCAGCTGCTTTTGTCCATTTTTTTTCTTGTCTGGTGTCTTCCTGTAGAACTTCCCATTTCAGGCTATGTAAGAATACACAATGTATTAGAAACAGCAAGGAGTGCTTTGCTTTTCTTTTTTAATGTCAGTATATCTAGCACAATGGGGCCCTATTGCTTGCTTCATACGAAACCTACAATAAAAATATACTAAAAAAACCTGTGTTAAAGGCAGTGGAGCTCCAATGGTGCACAAGAGATGCTCTGTCTCAAACAGATTCAGTATCTACTATTTAATTATACACACTGGGATACGGAAAATTGCTAGCACGTATCTTATGTTTCAAAATAAACCCTGACATGGGGTTGAAACTATCTTATTAGAGTTGCATCTACTCTGGAAAAACAAGGCCTCCAACATAATTGCTGGTACGGGTCTCTGTGTTAACTGCATTTTGAAGCACAAAGTCATTGTGTACTAGAAAGAGGATCTGAGAAAAGAATGAATTGGCAACAAGCTACATCTTCAAAACATAAGAACTGAACTAAAATAAAAGCTGTCATGCAGAATACAAGATGAAACATAAATGCCTAAATATGTAAAAAGCTGTCTTACTATAGTCATTACATTAGTCCGGCCATTTGATTTGGGAATATTGAAGAGCTGTGCTCATTAAATAGACTGTAGCAAGTTTAGAAATAAAGATTAGTAGTCTGATACAGTATTGGCTAATATACTGTAAAAAAACATATACAAGTCTACTATTGTAAGTAAGTCTACTATTGTAAGTAAACACTTCTATAAACAGAACAAGCTCCATTTTAGAATGGGGTTATATGAGGTCCTAACTGCCATTTTCACTTATATTAATATGTGCTTGTCTACTGAAAATACTTAATTTCTTATAATCCCAAAAAGGATTGCATTTTTTTTTTTAAACAGCAATATCATACTGGCAGCTTATGATCATCCTTCAAGTAACTAATGCTCTTTCTCTGTCATTTCCAACTGATAAGCTCCCAGGTTGCAGCAAAAATACTAGACTGATGACAAAGTGTGCGCCTCTATGTTGGTAGCGCAGAAGTGATGTAGCTATTTGTAATGGTCCTGAGAGTATGAAAGGCAAGTTTTGGAGGTGACATCTTTTTCAGCCTTCCAGTTGGTCCAGTAATAGATTTAGACAAGTTTTCAGATTTTGCAGCGACTTCTCTCAGGTTTCCAGTAGAGGCAGTTTCCGAGACCTGAGGAATGGCACTGCAATATCTGGAAGCTTGGCTAAATCTTATCCCGACCTTCTAGTTGGTCCAATAGAAAATAAATCACCCATGAAATCTGCATCCTTACTGCACTCTTAAAATTCTTTTGCATCATCCACTTAATACTCATAGTCTATGACTGTATCAAGCTTCCTCTAACTTTGGGTTGTAAGCAAGTTCCAAAACTATGCTTCTTTTTATTCCAACAGATGTAATGAAAATGCAATTAAGCTGAGGACAAATATTTGAGGAACTCCATTAGCAACCTCCCCACCCAGCAGTTCCTCTTTCAACATAATCTATATTCTCTCCCCTAAAGACAGTTCCTTACTCCGCTTAATTTTTGTGCTAATTTTCCACATGGCAAATGGCTTCTTCAAACTATTAAGTTTCCCTACCCTTAAAAGAAAATGACCTTTCCTCAGAGGTAGTTTTCTCTTAAAAGGCAGAGAAATTTAATAGCTACAACCTGGGAACTTACCAGTTGGCAATGGAGGAGCAGCATTACTTGCTTGAAGGATGAGCACAAGCTTATGATCAATTCAACAGTGCCTCTAAAGCATAAAATTGCCAGCCCATCTCAAACTAACACAGTCGCTTTGAGAATTTAATACTTTCATGGCAGTCTTTCTTTCCTGAAGATAGATGGTTACAAACTACTATTCTGTTTTAAGAAACATTTTTTTTTGCTCAGCATGTCTGTTTATTAAAAAGTACCACTATTGTTTTTTGGGGGTTTTTTTGTTTTTTGTGAAACTCCTTAAATCACCCATCTTCCAGAGTGATTAACATGAGCATTTTTTCAGTAGGGGTTGGGACTCAGTGTGACATAAGGGCAACTATTAACAGCTGATTCAGAGAAATGTCTTACATTCAACATATGATTTTAAGTTGGGACAAGGTATTTAGCAGAATTTGCAGATTCACTGGAATCTGACAGGGTCTCACCATGAGCACTTCAGGTGACAATACCACTGTACTGTTTGCACTGTATAAAGAATACATTATGTATAAACTTTAGGGCTCAAGGGAGCTCTAAAGTTTCAAACACAAGTAGTTTTAGGATATTTTACTAAACTTAGTACGTGAACAGGCCCAAAAATCAATAGTTTAAGACTTGGCATTTTACAAAGGCAGATAGAAACAAAAACAGGTCTGCCATTTAAACTGTACTTCAGAATTTCTATCTACTAGTTTCATATTTTACATGCAAGGTTAGTATACAAGGTACTCTTCTCGAGCAATAGTTTCATTCTATTAACACCAGTAGACAGACGCACTTTCCCTTCTTACTACACTTGGAAGATTTTATGACATCGTTCAACTAGTCTGTAGCATAGGCAAGTGAAGCATCCACATCACATCATTACTCCAAATAAAATTATTTTGCAAAAAGAAAAGATCACTCTAATACCTTGTTCCACTTTCTCTAGAACATTTTACAAAGACCGTTTTAGAAAGAAAGATGATTTTAAGAAGTGAGGACTCTATAAATACACATCTAATACACTTCTATTCATATTGAGCTTTTATTTATATAGAAAATACAGAATGCAGTTACCAAAAAAACGTTCCTGAATTCGCTTGCATTTTATTTTTATATATAAACAAAATCTGGGGGTAGTCCGTTTATGTAGCGTTTCTTTTGCAACAGGGCTATTTCAAATACTGTGAACTGAAACAAAATATTTTGGGATGGTATGGTTGTGCATGTGTTTTATTCATCATAGTTTTAAAATTATACATTTTGGAATGAGAATATACAGTGTATTTGCAAAAAGTTCTAACAACATTATGTCCACCGTCTGTAATGCTCCAAATGCTGCTCTGATAGACCCTTTGCAGCTTCACCAAAAGAGAGTCAGTTTATAAGTCTACTATTGAGGAAGGAATTTCTATTCAGGAAAGTTTTAAGCCTTAATAAAAATTTCACTGGGGGAAGGGGGAGGAAATAAGTGGAAGTACCAGGATTAAGCAGGTTTTCTTCCTGGACTGAAATTTAGATTGGAGCAAAACAGGACTACAAAAGCTTGGTCTGTTTTCTTTGCTACTTTCATTGGCACAATGTGCCACTATAGATGTCTTTCATTGAACATCCAGTAAATTGTTCAGCAAGTTTTCATTTTTTTTTTACCTTTAAAATAGTATCTTATTCAAAGGTTGGTGTTGTAATAGAAGACAGTATTGCAAAGTCTTTTTTTGCCATCCCTAGAGGTGATAAACACAGCATTCTACAACATGCATCTGTTCTTCTAGCAATATATATTTAAATCTAATCTGATAGTCTAGTGTTGTACTGTTCAACAATTTCTCACAAAGGAGAAAAATAGTAAGCTCTGATCTGCCCATTTAGCCTTCACTGAAAAAAAATTGTTTGTTTGTACCAAGGCATACTATTGTAAAATAAACTACAGCTTCTTCCACTTAGAACTACTGAAGCAGAGAAATCTGCTTTTCATATCTCCATTGTAAAGCAAACATTATAACGATGTCTCAAGCTTTGGAACACAGTACTTGATTTACTGATGCTGGTTAAGCTTAATGATGTTTTAACTTAGCACTTTTTTGATGTGGCGACTGGATGGTTTTAGTAGCATTTCTCATAACCATAGGAACTTAAATGGTTTTTTATTATATCAGCAGAAAGAGCTGTTACCTTGGTCTTCACAAAGATAAGTATCAAACATGCTGAACACTTACCACAATATTTAAGTTTATTGCATCTTTATGAATGTTTGAACTGTAATTAAGTACCATACTCAAAAAAGGTATTCAGCTTGAAAGATGTTTCTTCGCAAGAAACTGCACTTTTCTCTCAAATGCACTGGATCGAATAGGAGAATTGGGCTCATAAAAGGGATTCATTGCAAACTGAGGAAAAAGAAGCAGCTCAGTGTCAATAAAGAGGTTTTGAAATATTACTTTAAAAACTCTTTTACTAATGACTGTGAATGCTAGTTAGAAACAGTTTTTCAACTACATAAAGAAAATTGCTATCAAAATCCCTGTTTGAACTATATCTCACCACATTTTAAAAATATAAATCCCTATTGATATTAACAGGAATCCGTTTCAATTGGCAACATCATTTGATCCATGTTCAGAGGCTCAGATGGCTACCCACCACTGGATACAATGCTACACGCTCCCTCTAGTGGAATAATTTCAGACACCGTTGATAAAACTATCTGTTTTAAACAAATACATTGTTGTCAGGCCTTTCCCCAGCCCATATCATCCCAATATTTACCAGTCAAAATGAATATTGGGATGAGAGTCTAAGCTAGACTTTTTTTGGTTCCATTATTCATGTGCATTAATACAATAATTTAGGAAAAAACTCTTTCACTTGCACCTCAATTGCCACATTATATACCCGCCTGATTCACTTCTGAATTCAGCCCAGCAAAATCCACATGAGTAGCTTGAGCACTGACGAGGTGCAATTTACACAAGTTTTAAAGAACCTCTAGTACATCAGAGCTGTTTAGGATGCTATATCAATGAGAACTGCATGGATCAAATCTAACTGAGATAGCAAGCTATGACCACAGGCACTGTCTAGGACAAGGACAGGCAAAGTCTGGCTCACAGGTTGGATCCGGCTGGCAGTAGACTCCATTTCCCAGCAGCCCCTGCCCATGTGGTTGAATCCAGTTTCATGGAGACACCAGCAGCAGCCCCTCTGTGATGGCATGGGGCCAATGTTTCCATGGAGACAGCCTCAGCAGCACTGGCAGGCAGCAGTGAGGTCAGCCTCTTGCTTGGGGGGGGGGCGGCATGGGAGTGGCAAGGGGATGGTTGTACTGTGGGCAGGAGCAGGGCAGGCAGCAGCAGTGCTGCTAGGAGGGGTGGCTATGGGGAATTTTGGGGTGGCTATAGCCTCCCCCTCCCAGTGCTGCCCATGCTGGCAGGGCAGGGAGCTGCTTCGGAGCCTGGCTAGGATCCTGTAGCAGAGACAGCGATTCCAAAGCAAGGGTAGAGCTGCAATCTGCAGCCTGCATGCTCCAGGCAGTGGTTTGCAGCTCTGCCCCAGCTTCAGACCATGCTATCACTGCTGCAAGGAGCCAGGGCAGAGCTATCATCCTCTGCCTGCATACCCCTGCCCGAAGCATGCAGGCTGCACACTGCAGCTCTGCACCATGCTGTCACTGTCTCACGATCCCTGCCTGGCTCTGGAGCAGCTCTGCACCCTGCCAGCAATGTTGGGGCTGGTCTCCACGGAAATTCTGGTCTCATGTTATTACAGTGTGGCTGCTGCTGGGGTCTCCATGGAAACTACCCCCAGCTATGTGGGCAGGGGCTGCTGAGAAATGGAGTCCAGCCACCAGCCAGATCCAACATTTTGTCTGGTCTAGGATAAAGCTACCAGCACATGTACTTGCCTGTGTTTGCAATAGTGGAATAATTTTAAGTTTCTACAACATAAACCTAGCGGAAGTGTATATGGTAGAAAACACTTTAATCTGAACCAAAAACAGTTAGTTCTTACCTTTATATACAAGTCATAAACATCACTAAAGAAGTTTTTAATTCCATCTTCTTGTCTTACATCATGAAGCATAATAAATCTCATATGTGGACTAATTAAGGAAATAATTTCTTTGAAAAATGTAGTTAACTTTTAATAACCTATTCCCTCCAAATAAATTTCATAAGAAGACACATTTTGACATGGTATTTGGCTGAAGCAAGCACTTATTCTCCAATTCTGTGCTTAAACCTTTTTTTAAAGGAAACAGAAATGTTCTTCGGAAATAGATCAGTGTCAGATTAGACTATAACCACACATCCCTCTTCCCCCCTAAAAAAGGGCCTTTGGGGGACAGGAGAATGGAGTCAAGTTAGAAGAGAATTAAGTGTGCAAGCATACTTCCTCTTTTTATTGTTCCTCTTGTCTGCTTTATTCTTCAAGCTTGTATAATCTTCCATCCCATTAGAGAATTTCTGTCCTTTCAATCCATTCTCCCCAAACCAAAGTTCAATACATATATTCCAACTGGTTCTATCTTTCTAATGACCCATCTTGGACAGTGTTCCTCCAAACTACTCTGTAAATACTGCCTTCCGGAAAACAAGATAACACAAGAATCTTACTCCAAACTTGCTTCATTTGACTCATTTTCTGGTAGAAGTTTACTATTAAATACAGGAGAAAAAAAAAAGGATATGTCCTGCAGTAACAAATGCAGAAACAAACCATTCATTAAACTTGTCCACTGTCTTCAAGTACATATTGTTAGATAGCCACATATTCTCATCTACTAGATCAAGAGCAGCATGAGCTATGAACTGGTTGAGATGGCGATGATCATCCTGATATATATTGTGTGGAAGACGGAAGATGGAGTTATTGAGCGTATGGAATAAAATACAGTAAAAATAATCTACTCACTCCTCTAAGGGTGTGGCTAAACATCACCCTATGGTGATGTAGCAACATGTTTTGTCACTGTACAACAGCATGCTATGGCAATATAGCTATCACGTGGGTCTATACGTGATTGCCAGCTATGTCACTATATTGGCACACTCCCCGGTTGTAGCACACCACTATGGTGACACAGCAGCAAAATCTAACTGTATGCCATGCACACAGGACAGTAACTGCCTGCACTGCAGTGCTTTAGTACTTCCAAAAGGAAGTACTAAAGCATGGAGACATGCCCTAAGATTGCATTGTCTTTTTTCCCCCCCATCAAGCTAACTTCTCTCCTGCCAGATATGGTATAGACTCTAAATACATACAAATACTAATCATGTAGTCTCTGTGATTAAATGCATCATTTGTGTATACATCCTTGCAGTTCCCACTACAATGTATATGAATGGAAGTTAATACCATAGATCAGGGATGCCAAACTCATCCAGCCCCATGAGCTAGATGTGGTCCATGGTCTGGCCCCATGCCACTCAAGCCAACCCCCATTTCCCCAGCATACAGATCTGGTGCCTGCTACAGCTAGTCTAGGACCTGCACCGCACATAGCATGGATCTAGTCAGAGATATGCAGTATGGATCCCAGACTAGATATGTGCTGTACACAGTGCCTGCTCAGGCCAGACTGTACCACACACAGCACCTGCTCTAGGAATCACATTGCACAGCACCCACTCCAGCTTCTGGCACCCATGCTGCATGTGGCACTCATAGGCACCATGTACGGCATGTATCCTAGACTGATTGGAGAGGGCAGTCCTGGAACTGCCAGGGCAGACACCATACATGACATGCACCCTGAAGCGGGCGCTGTATGTGCTGCAGTCTAGCTGCAGCAGGCACCATGTACAGCGTTTCTAGGATCTTCAACATGCCCCCAATGAGAATGTGCCACATGCAGCACACATTTGAGCTGCTCCAGGATCTGTCCACAAATTCTCATCTGTGCAGCAGCCCTGAAGCAGCAGAGCCAGGCACTGCATGTGGCGTGCATCCCAGACTCTGCCTGCAGACCTGGTCCGGTGCATGCTGTGGCACCAGTGTAGATCAGCTCAGAGCCAGAGGGGGCTAGACAGCAGGGCCCGACAGCTAAATCCAGCCTTTGGGCCATAATTTGACACTCTTGTCATTAATGTGACTCAGAATCTTGTAGACAACTGTAGCTGTAACTGTAGACAAATGCAATTCCATGCCTCACAGGAGTCCTCTCTAATCCTAAGATAGTGAAAGCAGTTTTATCTAAAGGAAAGCTAAAACTAAACTTTAAGGATTCAAGTTCGGAAACTGAGACTGCCCTGCAGCATGGAAATAATACCCATGCTGTTTCCACAACAGCAGGGTTGCTTCGTTCCTTATACTTCCTCCTCCGTTCTTTAGACTGCTCATGTATCATAGGCAAAGCAAAATTTGGGAGGAGACATGCAGACACAAAGGTAGAAGCAAGAAGGGTCACCATAGCTTTATCTGGGAATGAAAGGTGAAAATAAGAAAAATGTCTTGCATTTTTTATATATGGGCCTTCTCACTCATTTTTAAAATCTATCCTTCCCCTCTCCCCAAAGCCCTCATTATGCATTTTTCCTCCCTGGAGCTGTTAAGCATGGGCTAGAAAATATGTATTTGTAAAATTACTCCAGTAGGTTAATACACTGAGACCTTCCTCTTATGCTACCCCTAAAAAAGGGACTACCATCTAATAAAAGCTAGAACCTGGGACATTGTTATGTACAACACAAAGCTAGTGAGAATTCAGGAAGAACTGAACATCTAAATTCAGTATCTGCTATTATTCTTTTGCATTGCAGAATCCCTGTAACAGCAGGTGATTCTACAAGCTGGCATTATGATATAATGCAAAAACAGCCACCAGAAAGCAAGAAAGCTCTTTAAAATAGCTCTTCTAAAGACATAAAAAAACTCAAATGTTTTATAGAAATTTTGGAAGAGCATCACAATTTAATGCACAAAAGGATTTATTATTTGCGGGATCTAATCCCTGTCCAAGTCTTCCGTGTACCAGTTTTCTGCAAAAAATAAAGTACTAGATACCACAAAGGATTTTGGTGGGCCCTTCATTTTTATTTACAGGGCCTGCTGCCATTATCCAAGAGAAGATGCAATCCACAAACCTTCGACTCTACTTTTCCAGGAGGTAGCCATTCAGTTTCAAATACTGGATTATCATGATGACCAACTATTACAAAGTAGAAACTTCCAGACATGGTCTTCAAAATAATATCCCTTTCAAGAAAATGATAAACATGTTTTACTGATGTTTCCAGACTCACGAGAGGTAAATGAATCAACAGGTGTCTCTAAGGAGAAGATCAGCTAATACATTACAGGTTTACATTTATTACAGATTAAGAGCAGACAGTTTTTAAGGTTGGCTGACACATGTTTATATTCCAAAGCAATTTAACAAAATTTAAAACACGTTTTGTTTCTATTTAAGTGTTCTGCAGAAACATTTTCCTTCTCAAGCTGAGGATGTTTGGCAACGCACCAACTAGAAATGAAGGTAGGTGGCAGGGCTCTGCAGCCACATCCAGCTTAAGGGTCATACTTTGACACTTCCATCAAAGAGAAATTTGGCCCTGACATCACAGTAACTGTGATCTCACAGGAATCCTTTTCAATCCTAGGATACTGAAAACCTAGGTTTCGTCCAGTAGAGATACTATCACTAAACCCTAAGGCTTTTACCTTTTGGAAACAGGCTACCTTGCAGGATCGAAATAACACCCATATTGTTCTAACACCAGGGTGACTTTATTCCTTACATTTTCCCTTCCATTTTTTCCTTCCACGTCATTCCTAAAGGAGCAAGGATGTGCTTCACCTCACGCGCCAAAACGCAGGGTGGTGGGGAAAACAGATGTCACCTTGCGCCGCCACAGCTCCGGCCGGGCGGAGGGGGAAGGAGAAGGCGGAGCTCCCGCCCAACGCCATCACCTACCGGTCCCCGGTGATCTCGTGAAGACGGCGGCTACGAGAGCCGTGCCACTCACTACCCCAGAACAACCGTCCAGGTCCTGGCTTGGCCACGTCCGCCTATCTTCCGGCCACCCCCCAAACTTCCGGCGCAGGCTGATGACATTATCGCGCCCCAAAGGAGGAAAAGGTGGGGATGTTCAAATCTCGCGAGAGTGCAGTACGGCGCAGTCGGCGGCGGTTGGTAACAGCTCAGCGCGTCCCGTTCCTGCTGCTGGGGTTTGGCGAGGTGACTGCGCATGCGCGTCCGCCGCTCTCTCTCTTTCTTTCTCTCTCTCCCCCGCCCCCCCAAGTCCTTTCCAGTCCGTTCCACGCGGACCCTGCTGGGGGGTGCCCCCGGGCTAGGAGTTCAAATCCCGCCTGCCCTGGAGGCGCTGCTGTCCCGCATCCCTGCTCCCTAGCCCAGCCAGCACAAGGTGCTCCCAGGACTCCGTGAGCTGGGGATTTGAGAGTGACACCTGCTAACCTGAGATACCCTAGGTGGGGGTTGCTCACACGGCAGGGTGCAGGCCTGGGTGGGCAGGACAGGATGGGACAGAAGGAGTGACGCCAGTCTGTTTGCTGCCCTGCCAGGTTCAGATGGCGGCGGCGGGACAGGAGGCACTGTCCCAGGACGAGCTGCGGAGGAGGCTGTACCAGACGTTTAAGAACCGCGGTGTCCTGGACACACTAAAGGTCTGCTGCCATCTCGCCCCACGGCTACCTCGCCTGCTTTGGGGAGCCCTGTGGCAAGCGCCTTGGGTTATTTTGAAGCGGGGTCGCTCCCCGCCCCACTATCTCCGCAGGCTGGAGGGGCTGCCTCCGAACAGCACAGCACTGCCCGCTCTACTTGCTTGTGCTCCGCAGAATCCGTCATCTCATCCCACCCCCACAAGTGGCAGGATGCCCTAACTGAGGGTGGAGGCGGCAGTCCCTGTTGAACAGGTCTATTCCACCCTGATCCTACAAGCCACCAAGGACCTGAGCTGGCGGCTTCTTCGTGGAGCCATTCCCATAGGCTTTATAGACACCCCTACCCCTTTTGCCAACCGTGGGGGCCCATGTTTGTCAAGCCCAACAAATAGGCTTGAGCTGTTTTTATTCCCTGGCTAAGTAGACATTTGTCTCCATTTTTGGTGGAGGAAGAGCCTGGGCATGTTTTGGCCCTGATCCGCTCCCTGGATGCAGTGGGGTTTGGCACAGGTATGTGGGTCCTGCTAGCCAGTGGCCCAGTCAACAAGACTTTAGACTTTGTTAGAAAAAGTGAAAAATTTGTGTCATATCACAAGAAGTTGCCTGGCATTGTGACAAAAAGTTGCCTGAGAAGCAAGATGGCGAAGCTGGGCAAAAATACACATAGGGATGCAGGCTAGAAGGGACCCCTTGAATTGCTAAGTCCAGTTCTCTGCTGTTACAGGTGACAGCATCTTATCTGGTAGTCCCTACTGTAGGATAAGGGTAGCATGATGCCCACAGTATCCTCTGACATTATTTGAGACCGCAGGTTGAGGTTGACTGGAAGAGAAAAGTATGATATTGGCCACGGAGCACTGTTGCTTGGTATAGTGACAGGCAACTTTTAACAAGCTACAGAATAGAATAACCCAGCTCTAGTTCAATATGGGCCAAGTGACTTTGGCACATCAGCAGCGGGGGTTTTGCCTGAGCCTGTGGTGGGGTGAGGCAGCTGGTAGTTGTGCCCATGGATCCATCACTTGTTTCACCCCCCTGATACCCAGCTGTGCTGTAGCTTCCCATTGACTGGAAACTGCACCCACGCCACAGGCAGGGAGCAGGGGGCTAAACGAAATGCTGCAGGCATAGCTTCCAGCTGCCTATTGTACCCTAGCGTAGCTCCTTGTTCTCCAGTCCTGGTGTGTCTACAGGCCATATGATCCAACCCACAGTCCATATGTTGCTAATCCATGGTGTAGTGTCATTGCCCATGGATCAGCTAAAGTTATAACCACTAAAAAATCATTTTTACAAACTGATCAAGCTCTGTCTTAAAAGCAGCTAGGTTGCATGCCTGTCTTCCTCTTGTTGACAGTCCTCATAGCTCACATGGTTTTGTTTTCTGTCAAAATGTATTCCTAAACAGGTTATCCCCATTTGTGCTTGTGATACTACCATCCTTTAAGTAACTCTTCTCCCTCCCAGATGGGACTCTCCTGATCTTGTTATACAAAGAAATCCTATCCCTTCTTTGCCATTGTTTGGTTAGGCTGAGCAAGCCAAGCTCTTCTAATCTCTTATGAAGGGTTTTCTTTGTCTGTGATTATCTCAGTAGTCTATATACATAACATCATGAATTTATGTTTCTTGAACATAGATGACAGTGATGATATATAGCTGGGGTAGCCTTCTTTTTCTGGATGTGGCTGAAAAGGTCATGGGTGAGCAAGTGCTAGGATCCTATTGGCACCACACCTTGTCTCCCGAACCACAGGGGAAGAGTGCCTGCTGATACTCATCCCTGCAGCACCTTACAGAAGGTCACTCCAGTGCCATTGAAGTGACACCTGTGAGCCAAATCCAGAAGCCCTGTGGGCCATAAGTTGCTGCCTTCTGATGCATAGGATGCCTTGTACAATTGTACCTATTTTTTCCTGGCTTTACTGGAAAGAATTTACAAAGCCAGTTTAAGCCACATGTAATATAGGTAGCCAGGAAACTGCCCGATGCGTGTAGCCATTGTCTAATACTACACGCCCTTAGGCTGAGTGGGTTTTTTTGTCCACCATGTGTTTGCTGCTACAGCTTTTATAGCAGTGTCTTGACTGGATAAGTGTCTTGATTGTTATTTATAGCACTGCAGACAGACAAAGTAAAAAGCCTAATAAAATGTAAGCAGCAGGTACACACTCAGTGTACTATATTGAATAATAAATTTAATAAGCTGTACTGAGATGTGATTGAGGCCACTGTTCCAGTGTGAAGTAGCCCACAGGCTTGTTTTGATTTAGGTGGTGCTTTTAAAGTAGAAATAAAGGATATGGCAAATAGTTTATGCCATGATTTAAATGGCTATTTGTTGGTATATTCAGTGCTTTATATCTTATATTCTAGAATCCCATTTGCCTTTTTAACTACTGCTTTTAGTTGGTAATTTGTAATACATCCTGTTTTTTCTCCTTTGTTGTTGTTCCAACTGATGATTCCCCAGCATATAGTAGAGATTCTTGTTAGTTGTCCTCTGTATTATGAAATTTAATTCAGTTTTTTCTTACTTCAGTTCTCAAGTTATTCAATTCTGTCTGTGTGATATTCTGATCCTCCTCTGTACTGACAGTGCCATTCCAACTCTATCTCATCATCAGCAACTTTGGTTAGAACACTCCTCCTTTTTGTGCCAAGGTCATCAATTAAATGATTAAATAAGACAAGTGCCAACACTGATCCTTGAAGCACTACCCTAATAAGCTCTTTCTGGCTAGTAGTACTGTGCTGAGCACAGCCCATTGTTTTCTTCCCTGGTTAGCTAGTTCCTTACCTACCCTTACCATTCTTGAAATACTCTACATCTTAAATACGGTAGAGTCTGGATTTTTCACTCCAGGTTATTCACAACCTGTTTGGTTTGAAACACATTTCCGAATTAAAAATGAGATACCTGCTGCTTTCTGTGTTCTTTTTGCTTCAAAGGGCCCTGCTTCTCCCATTAACTGTATCATGCCCATAGTCCTACGGAGCTGATTGGAGAAATAGAACTTTTTGAAATTTAAGCTGTGGCAAACAGCTGACACATGCCTGTGGTCGTGTGCAGATATTTGCTACAGCAATACTTACCTCTGGCTAGTTTGCAAGGCCTCACCTTACTGTGGGGCTAGGAACTTGACCTGGCAAAGAATCTGGGTTTGAGTGTAATGTTGCAAGTAACACTGTTTTTACTGCTTTATTCAAGCCTGGACAAATTAGAAACCACATTTCCTTACCTAGAGAAAACAGTTATCAACTAAATATAAATTTTGGTAATATAAATTAATCAGTTATCAACTAAATATTTTCTGTTTTTCTTCCTTCTCCTCACAGTTACTCTCTTAGTTGTCTACTTTTGTGCCTTGTCCCATCATTCTTCTCCAGTCCCAGAGGTTTCTGTATGCATGCCTTTATTCTGTTTAGCTTTCTTACAGGGAAAGAACTTTGCTGGTGTTGCTTTCCCCTTCCATTACAAAAAAATTAGCAGTGCTTGAGGCAGTGTTTCTTGTTCTCCATCTCTCTCCCACCCTTTGTGTAAGGAATCAGCAACAACTTGGCCATCCATTTAAAGTTTTTTCAGGCAAAATTGGAAATGATGGTACATGAGATGGGAAGTAGCAAAGAGATGAGTTGAATGGAAAAAACAGTAATTTAAAAATGGTTTCATTGTGGCAGGTGGTGTTGGAATGACATACGGCTTTTGAGAATAAGTTTTTTCATCTCTCATCTCACAATTGTTGGAATGGAAGTTAAGTTCATCTTAGTGTTAGAGGAAGAGATGAGGAAATACCTGAAGACCCAAACAACTTTCCAGATTCCACAAAAGACAGGCATAAGTTAGTTTTTTTCCCCTTTGTGCTTATTTATATCATACATTTTTAGTTTCCTGAAGGGAATGCATGTAGCTTTAGGAAAATAAAAGATGTTGGTGTTTTCTCTATTTATCTCATACTGATTTTTTTTTTTAACAGACCCAACTTCGAAACCAGTTAATCCATGAGCTGATGCATCCAATTTTAAATGGAGAACTTCAGCCACAAACTGTTTCCAGTGATGAAAGTTCACTGTTAGTTAGTGCCTCCAACAGTCTAGTGGCAGATCACCTGCGTCGATGTGGCTACGAATATTCACTTTCTGTTTTCTACCCAGAAAGTGGCTTGGAAAAGGAGAAGGCAAGCTCTGTAATTTATTTTTGTTAAAGATGTACATGATAACACTTTTATAGAACTTAAATATTAACTAAACCATCGAACAGCATTTTTAAAATGCTATGTTTGTGACGAGGACATGCCAAAGGTTCCCCTTTTAGGAAGTCATTCCTCTGTTTATGGGGTGGTCAAACTCTAGCCTACAGCACTCTGTTATCTGGCCTGCAGGACTCTCCTCAGGTCTGGAAATTTGGTGGTGGGGAAGTGATGCCCTCACTCTCGTGCTGCCAAATCCCCAAACCAGTGAGGAACCCTAAGCCCAGCATGCTGGATCCAGTGCCTAATCCCAACATTCAGAGCTGGCCAGGAGCAACGCTGGGCCTCAGGGCCCAACCCCAGTGTAGACAGCTAGGAGGGGGTGGGACCAGGTCCCTGGAACCCAACCCTGGCATGTTTGGGGTGAGGGTGCAGTGCTATGGCCCTGAGACCCAACCCTGGCACTGCAGGCAGGGAGAGGTCAGTGCTGGGCCCCAGGGCCCGATCCGGCCTACAGGTGGGTCCTGCACTATTCATCTGGCCTGCAGGGCCAAAAGATTGGTACCACTGCTGTAATCTAAATTAAAACTGCTTTTTCCACATAAAAAAAATCACACTCAGGATAGGTGGTCTGTTTATGCAAGTCCTTAATACAGAAAAGTTCTAGAGACAGTGAATATTCTACAATTTTTCATTTCAAAAGGTAGTCTTGATTCACATGGATAATTGGGTTATACATTTTTATATCAATAGGCAGGATAAGAAAGTGTTGTCTCCTATATTGTAGTTACTCTGAGCAGTAGAATTGGACTTTGTCCAAAGCGATATGACTGACTGCCACATGCCTCATTTGGCTCTCTGGCACCTATAGTCCAATAACGGCACAAGCTTAAGTGATCTTTGTATTCTAAAGTGGTATGGTACATCAGCTATGGATCTCTTTACTTCAGGGGTGTCAAACTTATCAGGCCCCACAAGCTGGATGAACGGCATGAAGAAAGTCCACAGGATGAATGAATAGTGTGCATGCAACATGCACCTCTGGGCAGGATCAGGTCCACATATCCCATGGCATGTATGCTGGCACATGGCCTGGTTGTCCCGCTGTGGGTGCCGCACACAACATGAAGCCTGGACCAGTCCTGTGTGGGCACTGCATGCAGCACACATCCCAGCTGTGTGCATTGCACTGGGATGATCCAGAGCACACTGCTTGTGGCATGTGGGTCAAATCTCAGACCTATGGGCACCACCACAAGCCAGATTGGGCTCCTTGGGTTGGATCTGGCCTGTAGGTTGGGTCTTTGCCACCTATCTTTTACTGAAACAGAGTAACTGCTATTGATCATTTACAGTGTTTTTTAATTTGTGGTTGTTTGTCTTTTTTCCAAAGGTGTTTACAGTGCAAGACCTTCTGCAGCTGATTCGGATCAATCCAAAATCTTGTCTTTACAAATCCTTGGTAAATTGTTTTTAATTACGTAACTATTGCTTGAGTTACAGTTTATGACAGAATACATTGGCTGAGTTTCCATCTTTTTCCTTACAGATTTTAGGCACTCAAAAGGAAAATAGAAAAGGTATGATGGTTTATTTAAATATTATGTACACGATGGTAGCAATTTTGCTTTTAATATTTCCTTTTTTTTTGGCAATTTTATTCATGATAGGATATTAACAACAAACTTAGTTTCCTTGATGATTGCTAAATACTGGATTCTTTCAATTTAAAAAGGGTGGTTAAAATTCTTTCCACTCAAAGAGTTTAGTAGCCATTATGCTTTGGAGTTGAATTTGTGGCATATATGAAATATATGACTTGGGTACAGTTTTCATAAATAGGTGCCAAAAGTTAAACTTATAAATTGGAACTTGAGCACCTAAACAAAGTGACTTGGTTTCTTTTGGGGTTTTTTGGGGGTTTTTTTCAACAGGACTCAATAATTTATATAGTTCTGGTTGTTCTTAGGTACCGGTAACAATAGTAACAATCTGCTCTCTCAAGTAATTTTGGAGGTGAGGGCATAGATGGGTGCTAGCAGTAGTTAGAGAATGGCTTTTTTGCTAACTGGGAAACCAGACTGTGCTTATTTTTGTGTTGGCAGGGGTGGGGGGTGCACACATTCTTTTGTCATTTTTTTTTGGGTGTGTAGTAAATATGTCTTCGTTTCTGAGTTAAAAATTTGACTGCTATGAAAGAAGGAAGCAATTAATATTCTTGATCTTTAAGGTTTTCTTATGCAGATTTTAATGGAGCTGATGGAGAATCATCTAAGTAGGGGAAGCCACGATACAGAAACTCAGACAACCTCAATGTCTCCTTACAGAGAATCTCTTGGTAAATTCAGCTTTTCTGGACAGCTCTTTTATGATGTTTCAGAACTGTGTTTATTCAGAATATCTCTACTCAAGAAACCTAAATAGTATATTTAAAAAGCATATCAAACTTTCGGCACAAATGGTTAAATGTTGCATGGTCATAATGTGACCTACATAGATAATTTGTTTCCAGGCATATTGCTATCTACTGTCACATCTCAGACCTTACTGTTACTTTGATAGCTGTTGAGTAGAAGTTAGACATTGACCACTTAAATATATAGTGACCCTAAAATCTTGGATGGAGCAATTGTCACAAAGTGATACATTACTGTGTGATGTGTCAGTAGGTGTCACATTTTTTGCTGTCTTCTTTATAGCTGAGAAGCTTCAATTGATTGATGAACAGTTTGCAGATGTTTACCCCCAGAATCAGAAATTTGAATCTTTCGAAGTAAAACTCAGTGAATATCGAAAAGAAATTGAAAAGCATCTTCAAGCAGAAATGGCTCAAAAGGTATAACTCAGAAATGCGCAGTTATGGAACCTAAGATAGATGAGAATGTGGTTTTTACCTTCCCAGATTTCTAAGGCTTTTAGTAGTTTAAATAGGATGTTACACCAGCCCAAAACTGTTATAAAAGTAAAACTTAAATGAAAACAAGACTCTTTGGGTAAATCCAATATCTTTTATTAGTCCAACTCAAATAGTTGGGAAAACTCTTCTTTGAAAGCTTAGTTGGAAGAATTTTTCCAGCCATTTGAGTTGGTCTAATAAAAGATATCAGATTTACCCAAAGAACCTTGTCTGTCTATGTGCTTAGACCAACACAGCTACAACCTTTCCTCCTGAAACTTGAATGAACACGCCAGTAAGGCAGTGTTAACTTGTCTGTGTTCATGTGTTTACTGTTTTCCTTTCCAGTGTTTCTTGTAAATGGCTACCTTAAAATATATGGTACATTGACATTATGTACTGGTAACATTAACTACTGCTTATCTTGCCATGTTTTGCCTTTTATTTTTCTTATTTTTAAGAAAAAAGAGAGTATGTTCATGAGGGTAGAATTTCTCTGCCTTCTAAAGCTTCCATTTAAAGCTGTATTTCAAACTTGAATTTGGCTTGAAGCATGAACTTCAGGGGGTACATAGGGATCAGAAAGGGGGAAATGTCATTTGTATGGCATTTCTGTTTTAGATGTACTAAATTTATATCTTTCAAAAGAAGCATAGAATTTGCAGAATACTGGAGAATTCAGGAACAAACTTCACAGAAACCCTAAAATTATAGGATCCATAATGTTTTTCATGTTTGATATTTCTCCTTTCCATGTAAGGAGAGCATTCTTTAGGACACTTTGCTGTATCATGGTGAAGGCTTTCTCACTTTCATGCCATTTTCCCATCTCCCATCACACCTTTTCTCCTTTGCTGCAGACAGTAGGATGCAGATCAATAGCTTAAAGCTGCAGCAAAGTAAATTTAGATATTGAATATCAGGAAAAACTTCAATGTTAAAGCAGCGAGGCAGTGGAATAGATTGTATAGGGAAGTTGTGGACTGTCCATTACTGGAGGTGTTCAAGAAGACGTTGGACAGCCGCTGATCAGAGGTGATCTAAGCATAGCCATGCCCATGTTCTGCTATGGGTATTTGCTGGTTGCCACATGGGCCTGGGAGAGTTGACTGTGTAATTTTGTTAAGAGGTTTGTATAGGATAACTTGGATAGGGATGATCCTGCCTCTGGCAGGGGAGTGAACTAGAGAGGTCCCTTCCAGCCCTACTTCTGTATGATTCTATGATCTGTAACCCTGGTGTTTGAAAATCTGAGTATGGATGCAGAAGAAATATGTTCTTAGTTCTCTCTAATATTGAAATAGGACCAGGACTTCATTAGGTCATGCTGAAAATATATGTCTGCAGATCATACTAGAACTTATAGTTAAGAAGTTAATCTTCAGCCCCCTCATGTATAAAGTCATATCTTTCCACTAACACCATTAGCATGCAAAATATCCACTTTCGAAGTTCGTCCATATTACAGAAAAGTAAACAAGCAGACAAAATAAATAACAATGCATTTTGTTTTTTGTGCTATTTTAACCTTCAAACACTTGCATGCAGTCTCCTTAGGTGGGGAGTGAAACCCAAACAAACCACAAACCCTTTTTAGCAGCATCTATAAGGCATAGCCTTGAGTTCTGCTCTTAAACACAAAACACAATGTAAACAAATAGTTTCTTAAAATATTGTTTGCATGGTTTCTTGTTCTGTCTCCTGAAAAAAATCACTTCTATCTGTCTTTAGGTGCTAAAAATATCAGACTTACCTGGTGCCAGGTAACAGGATAGGAATGGAGAACCTGTGACAGAAGGAATTAAGGACTGTGGTCATTCTTAGTTATCAGTCATAGTGGGGAACCCATTTAATCCCCATATTTAGTTTGCTTATGCCTAAAATTAGCATTATGTGCATTTGTAATCTGTGTTGTAATCCTAAGTGAAAGGTATGAAAAATGCCTAAAATTTCTTAATCGTAAGTGTTTCTAGGTTGCTTTTATCATGAATAGCTTAGAGGCATAGGTTTGGCTACAATGTTGGTGGGTTTTTTTCCTAAAAGGAGTTTACTAGGCTGCAGTGATGAATAGTGCAAAAATGTTACTTGCATATACATGTATGTATGTGAACATAAAATGTAACCTAGAGAAAAGAGATTTTTTTATAGTTATATTTACTTTCTTCATTTTATCTATGAAAGCTGCAACATTTTAAAGAGGTTGAAATAGCAAAGATTAGAATGGAGGAGAAAACACAATGCCAGAAAGAAATCTCTGAACTGCGGCATGAGCTTGAAAGGACACACCAAGCCAAGTCTGAAGCTCTGATTTCTCGGGAAAAGAATGCTATTGAGAGACTGCAAAAACAACAGGAGGTAATGTTTAAAGATAATAACTAGAGCAAGTGCTAAGTGTTATTGGAACCACCTTTTTCTTTATCTTTAGAAGACCTACATTCAGATTGCACTTTAGTGGTAAGTGGGGAAAAAAATAAGATGATTTTTTTTTTAGACCTGTGTCAGGAAAGCACTACATTGAAGGACATGGTTACCAACTATGGGGGTGAGTACAATATATATATGTAAACAGACTGGCTTGAAATCAGTGCTACAAAATAGGACAAAATACAAAACCAGAATTTGTTATTATGTTAGAACCTTTTTTATTCTCTTGGATGGTTTGGTATATCCTTACCATAAACACTGAGTTTTCAATAGAAAACTTTTCTTTTATACTAGGGATGGCAACCTATGGCCCTGGCCTGGATTTGGTGTATAAAGAGGTTGTATCCATCTCAGAAACGTCCAGTCCAGCCTGAGACAGTATGGAGGATCAGGCAGCATGGAGATCTGCTGAGCTGCCCATCCCCTTTATAGCACCCTTCTCAGTAGCCCTCTCCCTTATGTCAGTGTTTATCTCGCTGCAGGGGGGCCACATATCTTCACTGAGTGTAGGCATCTTGAGCTCTGGGGTGACAGGGGACCAGAGATTTGTAGCCTGTGGCAGAGAGTGGCTTGCAAGCTCTGGCCCAGGGTGGCAAAATATTGCTGACTGTTTTTAATATAACTTAGTATCTTATTTGGCTTCTGTTGGTCAGAAGTTTAGCCAAACTGTCCATTTATCTTAGGTGGTTTTTTTAGAGTGATACCATTTAACCTAAGACCGAACAATGTATATTCTATAATTAAACTTATTCTTTCCAAACTGCAT